ACCACTTCTTCTTGTCTCAAAATCCACTCGGGGTGGGGGGGATGATGACGACATTGGTACACAGACACACAAGAGCCGTTTTGTTCGGTATTTACAGTACTTTCGTGATGGCGGAGGACCATCTTATATGATGATGGTTGATGATGGTGATGATGATGAAATGATGCGTGATGAAGGATCATGATGGGTGATGATGATCGATGATGGTGGTGGATTGAGGCGCCAGGTAGTTGGTAGGGGGCGGGGGTGGCTAGTAGTAGTAGTAGTAGTAGTAGTAGTGGTGGTAGTAGTAGTAGTAGTAGCAGTAGTGGTCATCAGTAGTAGTAGTAGTAGTAGTAGTAGTAGTAGTAGGAGTAGGTGTTGGTGGTGGTGGTGGTGGGTTGTTGTTGCACAGGATTCCAACCCGTAGCTCGAGCACACCAGCGAACCCAGCCAAAACAGAGACTTCTGACGGCCCAGGCACAACTGCACTAGGGGTCGGCTAAGCACTCGAAACTGGTGCGACACGTGGGGCATGAGTTGGCGGACTTAGAAGTCGCCAAGGACCAACGTGCAATGCAGTCCTCATGGAAAACGTGTCCACAGGGAAGGATCGCAACTTGACTGCGGGGCTGAAAATCATCCAAACAACATGCGCAGGTGGGCTTGAAGAGACAGGCGTGGCTCTTGAGCGGTGCAGGCCCAGTTTGCTGCCACTCAGCACCGTCTGTACCCTTCTCCACATGGAAGGAATGGAAGCTGAGGCTGTGCGAATCCACAACCCCGAACTCCAACTCCTCGAAAACATTGGACGCCCAGATGCAGTCACAACTCTTCTTACCGACAGTGGCAGCCCCTCTTTCTGCGACAGGATGCGTATGCGGGCGGTCGAAGAGGAGAGAGATAGCACCAACCATCAGCATACAGGCCAACGGAATCACGAGCAAAGCTGAATAGCCATGACGCTTCTCCATAGGTGTGAACCCAAGAACCACGATCAGAAAGATCATAGTCACGAAGCTAATCGCAATGACAGCCAGCCTGGTTTGCAACGATTGCTCGCACATTCTCGCAAAGCATGCACTCCTCTGCTTCATAGGCTAAATTCAGAGCACCATCACTCGCTTTAAATAACTCCAAAAGCAAGCTACTTCCCTCTGAAATTAATGTCGTTATCGTTGGGCCTTCTACGCTTCGAAAGCACTCACAGCAGCCCCTAGAGACCAGCTGAATCCTTCAATCCTACCACTTTGGTTGCCGCGTGACACTTCTCGGGATTAATTGGCATTCAGAACTCGGCATCCGGGGCTTCGGATTTGACGCTCTCACGGGCACCTCATTTCACATCGTTAGCCCAGGCACGCGCATGCCCGGATTCTGGATTGCAGCTGGGTTGACAGCTCCCTCGCCATGGCCAGATTAACCTCGCCCGTGCGGATAGTGTGGTCACACTCACCGACATGGTTCCCACACGTGTTCCTTGCAACCACTGCAAACCCCTGAAGTCCGTGCAAGTCCGAAGACCGGCTCTACAAACAAGACACAAGCTCCTGGGAGGAGACTTGGAGTGCTTCACAGATCTGTTAGACCCTGAGAAGATAGAGGAATGCCAACAAGCTTCCATGTGTAACCTCAACATCGCAGTTACTGTGTGTTGCACCTCAACGCTAGACTGTTCGATGCCGAGAAACCTTTTCTCGTTGACGCGCGGCAGGGAAGGCACGAAAGTTACTGTTCCTGCCTCTATGAAAACATGAAAGCAGCAGTAGCAGCCAGGAGTAATCAGTTGCTTCAATTCTCCACTTGGTATCCACCGTGCCTTGCAGCCTTGCATCTATCCGGGCTGCCCGCATTTAGTGACATGCTCCTACTTTGAACCCGCCAAACCCCAAACCGTAGTTAGCGTCTGAAGACAACAGCGACTTCGACCATGAGGCTGCCTGCTGCTGGAGCCGAAAGCAACGCCAAATCTAATCATGAACATGCTTCAAGCCGTTGCTTGAAATCAGCCACTTCCGGACCGAAGCACTCCTTACCATCTACAAATTTCTGAGGCCCCCTGAAAGCCGGTTATATATATATACACACACACAGACTTACTCAGAGCCAGAAGTATGACGCGGCCCCCCTTTCCAAGGCGCACGCTTCTCCAAATCCAAAGCGCCCACGGCTTATTCCAGCTCCAGCGCGCACACAGGTGTTGTTTTCATTGGTTTTTACCAG